GGAGGCGCTGTCAGGCATCTCAAAAGATGAATTTAGACAATGTTTTGAAAAATGGAATAAAAGACTAGACAAGTGTATTAGTGTAAGTGGAGAGTACTTTGAAGGGGATTGAAGGTTTGTGCTTAAAATTTGAATAAATAAGTTTAAAAAAAAAATAAGTTCGGTTTCTTTTGGGTACCCCCTTGTATAGAAAACCTTGTGTGAGATCATGTCTGCATGGGCATTTGCCTTAATTTCTTAGAATAAAGTCACATGAATACTTCAATAAAATAGTATTATATTTTAACATCCTGTTGCACTCATAGTAGTGGGTCTGGAATGGGGTCCACTCAACCTCATGAGGATAAGTGAGGAGCTATTTCAAGGAAATGGTGGCTCCAGTCTAGAAAACCGAAATTAATGGCCGTGGGGATTTGTTGCCCTGACCACACGACACTCTTTATCCGCTAAAGTTGGCACTAATTTCGCCGACAAGCAGCAGTCACTTGGTCGGTATAGTTCACTTGCGGACTAAAACCATGGGTTTTTTTTTGTTGTTGTGCTTTTACTCCTCCTAAGTAAGCGAAATGCACTCNTTTTTTTTTTTTTTTTGCATTGATATTTCACTTTTCACATTCACCTAAAAATACGCCATGTTTGCCATCCCTTTTGATACACTATATGCAGTTATCCTTTTTTACTAGTACATGTCTTATGTCGCGGTAGGGTAGTTGGTTGAGGCACTATGCTACAAGCCGGGAGATCGCAGGATCAAATCCCGATGAGGTAGATTTTTTTCAATTTATCTAATCCTCACAGCCACACTATGGCCCTGGGATCAACTCAACCTCTAACAGAAATTAGTACCAGGATTACTCTTGGAATGTTCTTTGGGGTAAAGGGCATCTGGCGCATAAGGCTGACAGCCTTACTGCCATCTGTGAGCCGATTGCCTATAAAATGTGGGAACCTCAACATCTCGTAACCCTATGGGCCTCCAGCTCCTGTTACAAGGAGAGTTTTATTTACTTACATGTCTTATCTTTTAGCATCATCTTATATGAGCTGATGGATGAAAAGTCTCCAGTCCCTTCCATCTTCCCATTGTCTTTCCATTTTAATCTTTTGTGACCTCATTCCTCTGTTCCTAGTGTCTTTAAGTACATGGTTGAACGCTTTCCTTACAGTTTTCATTCTAATGTTCCTTAGTATCCTTGTTCAATCCATTCATTTTGCATGGCCAAACCATTGTAGTTGTTTCTCTTCTAAGTCTGTTAACAGTTTTGAATGCTAATGCTATAATAATCTTTGAATATGGTACAGGTTGTTTGGTAGGACATGAGGTCTGAGATACACAAAAATGACAGGCCTAATTATAGAGAGGCTAATATTATTGAAATAGAACTCATCGCAAGGCATCAACTCAGTCACAGCTCTTAAAACACTGTGTTCTGCTTACCCCCCATCCTCTGTTCGAGCATCAAGGCTACTGTACATCTCAAAACCATAGCTCAAAGCTAACTGAACCTACTGTAATTTATGGATCATTGATGATAGAAAGTTTAAAGAGCAGCTTTGGTAATTTCTTCTTTGTAGAGTGTATTAGTTACGTAAAGACCCAGTTTGCTTATAACCTTAAATTTCATATTTTGAAAGGAATTTTTAAAATTAAATTATTGTCTTGAACTTTTTTGTAGCAACTGAACACACCAGACACGTGCAGGAGTGTTGCTGAGTACCCAAGGAGGAAACAGAGAGGCAGAACTGGGTGGGGGAGAAAGGATAGAGTTGTGGATCAGCACAAAGTAAGCCTATCAATCATCCATATATATGTATTCACATTAATATATTTAATCAACTACAGCAATTTATTTGAAATAGTTTGAGGTTGTATACTACTTGGATTTTTCAATTAAGAAACATATAAAAGAATGTCATCTATGAAAAGCAGCTTTCTGTAGCCATAGTGGCACAAAGCAGATGTAGGACATTGCAGTCTACTGGCAGTGATGATTTAGGATGCACTGTAAGTTTACATTCTTTCTAGTTCACTAAATGTATATAAGAAATTCATTCATATTTTAACTTCAAGTTGGAAGCTGTATTAAGACAGAAACAGTGAGTTTTAAAATTTCAGACTATGTTACAGTTTGGTTGATGTATTATATAACTCTTTGACATTTTGTTTCTCTTATAGCAGGAAGATGAATTGAAATCTGAAAGCTGTGCACTTGGAAAGACTGAAACCATTGAAACTAGTACTCAGAATACAGGGACAGTTCAGGATAACAGCTGTAACACAGATGTTCTTCATGACAGTAAAAATCAAAGAGCTGGAAGCTGTGTACAAAGAAGCTCTCATAGAGGAACTTATGGAAAGGGATACAGTTCTAATTATAACAGGTCTCCAGGAAGAGGGAACAACTGGATGGTGTCAGGAAACAGTTACAGAAGTGTCTCTCCAAAGAGCAACGATCAGATAGGCTTAAATATTAATAATCCTCTTATAAATAATGAAAGTATAAAGAATTCCTCGGAATGTGATAATGTAGTGGATCGCCAGTGTAACAAGAACAGTGAAGCTGTAAATATAGGTAATGCCTCTGAAGATTGCATTGTTGGAACTAAGAAGAAAGATGTTGAGGTTGCCTTGAATGGTGTAGGTGTGAAACCTTCTAAATCTACAGTTTTTAGAAGAAAACACAATTCTCAGCCAGTTCCGTCAACTTTGAATCGTGACAGGAGATACGCTCCAACGAGACCGAGGATGTCAGTTGTTAAGCTGCTAAGAGAGTATGATGAAGCTAGACAGCGGACAGAATTCAACCGTAACTTTTATACTTGCAAGATATGCTTCCAGGTAACTTTTGTTATCCATATTTTTCTATGTAAATTTCAGATACAGTGCACCACATCATCTGCAACAGTTTTCTTGATCACTGCACGCCATGCTTCTCGCTGAGGAATTCATCTCAGTACAGTATGGCAGGTATCAGAAGACGCTGACCTAGAGCCCAGTATGTTAGATGAGTTGCTGTAGATACTGTGAGTTCTTTTGAGATAGTAGAATAGCAGAGAAACTGTGTTTTAGCTTGGGCAGTTAGACTCTTGCTTCCTACTGCTGAGGCTTAATCATGGGGTGATTTCAAGTGAGTTTTCTCATGCTACTTTTTTTTCCTTGGCACTACAGCCCCAGTGGGCCTAGGCCTACCTCCATGAACTTCTCCATTCACTTCGGTTTTTCTAGATCTTACACGTTCGGTAGGACTCCTTGGGCGGGTGATCAGCTCGTTGCAAGGCCTCTACCTGTGCACAAACACAGAAAAACCCACACACACAAACTAAACATCCATGCCTTGAGTGGGATTCGAACCCACGATCCCAGTTTCCAAGGGAGTGAAGACAGTACATGCCTTAGACTGCTTGGCTACCGTGACCAGCCCTGCTACTTGTTAATCCACCATTTTTAAATTTAAAACTGTGATGATATACTTGAGGTAATTTAAATTAAATGTCAAATGGGGGAAAGCCTTAAATTAAGGAATATGAAATGGGGGTTCCACTCTGTAGAGGGCGCAACATTATGGAAGGCTAGTTGTTCTTATTTGCAAGGTGCTGAATACACTGTAGGGGGCGCAACATTATGCAGGACAGGCTGTTCTCATTTTACAAGGTGCTGAATAAAGTGGTACACTTCTTTAGCCTACTCTCATAATTAAAGAAAAGTAGGCTTATGAGATCACCATGCAGTGTGTCTGTGAATCCCTCCCATAAGCTTTTGAATGCCTGAACCAATCTTTATGAAACTTTGTATATCATGCCACTTGAGCCCATCTCATTGGTGTACTTCATAAATCCCTCCTATCAGTCTGTATGGCTGTATCACACTTATTGTTGCTAGGCAAATGCTTGGTAAAATGTATCCCTCCTTTCATTGCTAGGCATAGGCTTGCTAAACATGTTCGCACAGCATCAGATACACACAACAGTAGAAGAATTGTTGGACACATCATTTTCTGTGCGGGCCGTGTCTTATCGAAGAAGAGTCTGTGGGTCTGCCTGTGTATCCCCCTATCATTCCTAGGTAACAACTCAGTAAAGATGTTCCTGCTGCAACAAAGAATTATTGGAGGCATCATTTTCTATGCAATCCATATTGTATCGGAGGAAAATACCCAATTACTTCTTCTAAAAACTTCTTGTTGGTGCATTTGACTCCACAACATGCATTATTTAGCCCATTAATTTTTTTTATTGGTAGTGGGGTGGGAGTACATCCCTTGTACTATGGCCACTTCTGGCCTATTGTACCAGCCCCAGATGACAGGTGAGGGTGATTGTGGAGCAATTGGTGGAATGAAGATTGACAGGGGAAACCGAAGTACTCGGAGAAAACCTGTCCCAGCGCCACTTTGTCCACCACAAATCACACTTGACCAGACCCAGGATCGAATTCGGGCAGCCGCGGTGGGAAGACAGTGACTAACCGCTTGAGCTGTGGCGTGGCCCTAGCCCATTAATACTACATTATATATGACCATGAAGTAACAGGACCCTGTAAATCAAGGAAGCTGGCAGGTGTGTGATGACTTACAGTGCAGAAAGAGCGAGATAAAATTATAAGATACCAGTGTTACAAAATTGTTTCCATTTAAATTTGACATGCATTGTACTGCCAAAACATCATGTGGTTGATACAAAACACCTTTCGCCAAGGTTCAATGTCACATGTTCAGCATTCCGTTGCTTCGGGAACGTTCTTTATACACTGGTAACATGTTTCGTCTCATCTGTTGTTACTCAACGGCCTTCTGTTCATCTCCAGGGAAATGCATTCATTGCTTCGGCATTGTCTACACAATGGCTCGCTGTTATTGTGTTACCGTGGAAGTATCTACTCCAAACACGTTACAATATTATTAATGATGAATAACACATCTTCATAACTCTCATTACATTTATTGCTGTTATGTGTTCTGTTCACTATCCGTGTGTTTTGCTATGTCAGACATCACATGTCTCAACAGTGCAAGCCAGCAACTTGCAAGACAACTCATACAGCTTGAATAGGGCAAGGCCTGACTCATGCTGATTGGTTTATCTTTCACCTTATGACCTCATTTGTCTGCCACACATAATCGTCACCCACAATGAAATTTTTAGTATAGTATTATAAGAGCGAAGAGGACAGAAAACATTTATAGGAGAAATAATAGATATTTAAAGTTTGAAATATTCTGTTATATTGGAGGGTCAAATGTAGGTGACACAATACTGCAATGGATCTTAGGTGGTGAGATTATCCATGGTGGGAGGATCCAAAGGCAGGCCTTTTGTGGTACTGGTGAACCTTCATGTTCTCTAATATCAGTATAGCATGCAGGGCTTTGAACATTTGATTGCCTGTGGAAAACCCTATACAGTAAGATAAAGTTGTCCCTGTGCTTAACTAATTAAGCACTACTACTAGAAGGCATGTGGGATAGTGGATGTATAACCCCATGTTTTCTTGACCTCGGCACTAGTTGAGAGGTGAGTGGTCACTTTCACGCCTTGGCCGCTTTACCACCAGGGAAAGAACCCCTGGTACCCATTGGATAGGAGGCTGGGTGGACCCCAGAGCCAGTCTGGATGACATAGAGAAGTGAAAATTCTTACCCCCACTGGGACTTGAACTCTGACCCCTTGGTCGTCCAGCCCATAGTCTGTCTCTATACCGACTGTGCTATCCCAAGACCTGTACAGTTTTGTTATTAATTATTCTTTTGTTTGTCCCTGATATTGTAGACTTATACTTATGATCATATTGTGTTGTAGGATAAGAGGGGTTCTCACTGCACTTGTTTTGAGGGCTGTGGGCATGTCTTCTGTAAAAGCTGCATGGCAGAATATTTTGCAGTGCGAATTAAAGATGGCACTGTGAAGAGCATTTGCTGTCCAGAAGAGAACTGTACTTCGGAAGCAGTTCCTAATCAGGTATGTAGTAAATCGTTTAGGGTATCCCTAATCCAGATGTCAGCTACATTACTGGACAGTTAAATAGTCCAGTACTATTTATTTTCTTATCTTTCCAACATTGCTGTTTATAATTGTCTCGAATACAGTGGAACTCCCTTTCAGTTTTCATCAGTTTGATGTTTTCCCTTGTTTAGAGTTCAATTACAGTGATCCTGAATCAATAATCTCACTTTAAATTTCTTCCATTTAAGATTTCCCCTCAGTTTAATATTTAGATCCACTGCTCCACAAATATACATTATGTGGGGGTTCCATTGTATATCATTTGACTTAAACTTCATATTAACTATATTGCTTAGGATCTTCCTTGACCAACTAATATTCAAGAGTTCTGTCTTCTGGGATATAAGACTGTTGTCCATTGAAAGTCACACATTGTCATGTCCCAGAAGACAGAACTCTTTATTTTAATATTGGTTTTATAATCAATTGCTGTGTTGACAGCTCACAAACATACTGTCATGTGTCTCAGTGACAAAGTTGCGGGGTTGGATTGGTAAGTGGATATGTTAAGCAACTAAAGGGTGTTGCTACAATTAATTATTACACCGTTACTGACTTTCACACTACAAAGCACTCCATGCTACTCTCTTCAGTCTGTCTCCACTTGTCTGCATGGATTTATAACTCAGGAACTATAAAAGTCTCACTAAATTACACACTCCCAATATCACTGTGCTACAGCACACATAAAATCTTCATACAACATGTTAAATCTTCACAGGCTGACTTCTTGTACTCTTCTGTACTCCTTGAGCTTACTGCTTGCTTGCTTGTTCGCTTGCTCCTTGCTTCTGCCAGTACTACTACTCATAATTGCTCTGAACCCTCATGGACT